TAATCCGATGGTGCACCCAGGATTTGAGGGGGCTCCAACTGGAATTTACCCCCCCCCCCAAAAAAAAAAGATGCACATGATGCTCAATCCGCCCCCCCCCCGTTTGTGCCACATGGGACTTGGATGTCCAGCTATATCAGATTTAGTATATAGTTTAAGATGTGGGTGCACATGTATTTTGTATTTTCAGTATTTGCGAAGTTATTCCAAGTACCACATATTCCAAATTGTAATTTCACAGACGGGCGATTCAAACAGTAGCCTACATTATTTTCCAATCACAAAAGCGTCTTACACGTGGCGAGATCTCTCACTTTACAAAATGAAATGCTACATGTTGGTGAACTTTAGAGTATTACCATTGTACAGTTTGGGATCAAATTGTTGTTGAGAATGGCATAAGCCCTTGTCGGCGAAAGTGGCTTAAAAGAATCATCCAATAAACGTCCACTATGAAAAATTTCAGGTCAAACCTTTTGTTTCCAATCTTTGCCCAGATCTGTATCTAAAAACGCAAAGCAAATCAAAACTATATATTCTGGCAATGTAAAAGTTAATAGTTGAGCTGGAGAAAATGAAGCTAACGGTAATCAGCCTTCACAATGTAAATTAGATTGTTTATAAATGGATTTATGGGCCCAAAGCCGCGGCCCACATTCCAGGAAAAAAATACATTCGTTTTAGGGCGCACCACTGTCACTAATAAGAAGGTGCACTCAACCTCTTTGCAGCCAAGTCAAGCGTGTCGCGCTTTCAACACGAAAATGTAAGGAATTTGCAGAATTGATTCAACAAAGCAACCGAGCGACTTTTCATTTTGGCAACGTGAATGGTTTGCTCCACACCTTACACACATACAATCGTACACTTATGTATCTATGTACCAGTTATCTTTCAGTTATCAACTTTCAGTGCAATCAAACTTGCACTAAGGTAAGGATGGATTCGGACACTTCTCATGTTTAGTTAACTGGGGCCGGGGATAACTAAGTTTAGTAACTTGTGAAAATACTCTTTTGGTGAAACTCTCTCTTTATTATGCAATGCGGACAGAATTGTATATGAACATCTTACACCAGCGTTAATTCCTACCGTTGATGACTTATTGGACTGTTTTAACGCCAACGGTTAAAAGAGGGAAAGATATATCCGAGTGAAACACTTGAATTTTGGAAACGGATTATATTCCAATAACGTTCCCTTTTGGCCATTACAAACTGTATAGCGAGGAAAGAGAGTTGAATGACCGTGGTGCAACAAGTTAAGATTTCCCAAAGTTGATATATGTTTACGGTGCAATTCTAAAAAAAACTCATACAGGTTAGTACACATACATTTGCTCATGCAAATGCCTGTAGTTGGTTACTGCTTACACCTGAAGCATATACATGTACTATGCCTTGTCAGAGCGAACAAAAGAGCAACTTTCAAGTACAATAAAAGGACCTTCAAATTCTCGTTCGCCGATAACAAAAATAAGTGGGTCGACCTTTTTCTGTGAAACATTGCTTTCGTCGGCATAATAATATATATGTATGATGGTGTTGCGTACAAAACTCCCTTCTGCGGTTTTCTCCATGCGTTCCCGGGGATCATAGAGGTGTCAGCAGGGACCAATCTTGCAGCTTGGTCGGTCCATTAGGGAAGGACCATAGTCGATGCATAATTCGATACAGTCATAGTCAAAATGGCAACATTGTTCAGGCCGTATCTATATCGAGTAACGATGGTTATGCGTTTGTGTAGCTAAGGTGATTGAATCTAGATAAGTGTGTACAGCCTGTATACCCGCATTTTTGCACTGGTAGGATACTATACTGATGCCACTAAAATAAAATTCGGGCTTCCTTTATAACTGTGCTGACTTCAGTATTTTTCGCTTTTCACATAAGCCTACTAATGACTGAATCGAGAAATTTCATGCTTGGATTGATCTATCTATTTCACATGACCCTAGATGCAAATACCAATTACAGCTTTTCTTACAACGGTAAAAATATTAACCAAATGTTCAGAGATTATAGTGGAAACAACATTTTTATTCAATCATTTTGTCAAGTTGATCCAAAGCAATTGCTTATATTTTGTTTGTTTAGCTTACCTATGAACAAGTGATAGTAGAATTAACTTCAGATAAGCTCCCGTAAATTCACTGTCTCCCAGGCATCCTGTATTGGTCTGACCATATCCATTGATGATGATCATCTGCAGTCTCCGGAAATCTTCCTCTGTGATGCGGGTCCAAAAAAGCGTCATCATTTGATCGAAGACCGCGCCACCAGCCACGGTCTCGCTGCGTAGTTGGAACTGCGGAAAGCCGTCAGCCGCCGACTTGTTCTCATACACCTTCTGCCGAGTATCCTGTTGAGTCTCGGTGGTGGTCACGTGGATGTACAAAACAAGAGGTAAAGAGTTGCCTCCGCTATGATTGCTCGTCGACATTACTCCTGATGAAATCTAGTACAGATTTGAGAACAAGTTAACCCACCAGCTTCGTTTGGCACAACTTATGCTGCAGCTATGGAGAAACACACTGCGTGTGTCACGTACCGCAGTAGGCCCTCAAAGGATTTAGCCTTGTGTTGTAGAGCCTATAGTTTGGTTCTATAGACTTGCAGATTAGTCAGATGACTTCTATAAAAATGCGTCATGCTTGGCCAGCCAGCATTTTTAAGAGGATCTGAATGCAAAGCGTTCCGGTCTACTCACTGAAGGGAAAGGGGTTGTTCACGCTACCCCCAAGCACGCATAGACCGGACTTGAGACTTTAACACTTAAGTATGGATTCTGGCAAAGAGGTCTATTCATAACCTCGCCGATTCCCATGATTTTTTCATTCTTCATTTATAATAGTCGTAAGCTCGCGAACAATGAAAATTCATATCTTCACATAACGACAGATTATTAGACTTACTTTTGAAGTGTTTATGGGTCTTCTGGATGCATTCGTCGAGACATCTGAGTATATGTCAGTCGATAACCCCTTCACTTTACTGCTGCCTTCCAACACAACACAAAGGTTCACTCTGCCTTCGCTTCTGAAAATGCCTTGATGGAAAGGAAGCCACTCCCAAATCAAATGAGGGACCATTTACTACTTTACCTAAATGCAGGAAAAATAATGTTGCTTTATAAAAATATCATTTGATCAAATGTAATCGTGTAAATTTTGTTACGGAGACAGACGCCACCTATAACACTCAGTGCACAAACCCTACGAGACTGGTCTAAAAAATTCTGTTTTCTAGATGAATACCTCAATATTGTCCTTGCTAAGTTTGATTTTTTAAAGGCACGTTATTGCTTTCGGATGGTTAATCGGTCACTGCAGAAAGATTAGTGGCGTTTCCCCCTCAAGCTCAAATAGCTAGGCCACCGGGGAACAACTGCACCATACTTTCAGGTATAACGCCACATTCGTGCCAAGCGTTTAGATGTATATGTATGTGTTTGTTGAGCACGTTGTTTTGTATCAATGGCGTTTTCAGCTACTCAGGCTATTGGTCGCCCATACAAGTTGTAGACAAAATGAGAATTGTCTAATAGCAAGGACGCATTAATCCAACGATGATCCGGAGTGGTAGGGCGTATAGATCGATAGGGATGGATTAGTGGATGGAAATTGGATTATTAAGTCAAAACAGAACAATGGGGTGAGTTTTATTGGACCATGTTGGACACCATGTTGATGGAAGATGCCTGTAGAAACTTGCAGAAATAGGCAGCACCCCATCCTGAACATGAAGTGTACCTAGGTACTTCACGAGTCCGTTACAAAGAAGCGATACATATATACGTACGTTTGCACGGAGAAGTAACCCCGTCTGCAGCGATTTAGTCATTTGCCCATTTTCCACTCCGCCCACGGGCCACTTCCCTTCGCTATGTACCATCGCGTGGTAATAATGCACACCCTAATTTCACAAGAGCGGGCCTGTGATTAACCATCAAATCACCGCATCTTTTAAACAGGTCTATTGCGTGCAATTTATTTGGATACAACAATCGCAATTAGAGACCCAGACAATAAAAGTATGTAAATGGTTCATGAGTTCATGTTAGAACGCTGCAAAGTTTCCGAACTTGCACCGAGACCTCATGAAAAAAAAACCAAAGCAGAAAATGCCCATACATGCATTAACACGACTCTCATTCTGTGAACTAACTTAAAACTGAAGTTTTAATCCTTTCAGGTCAATTTCGTACGGAAACGTATAAAGGCCACTTACAACAATTTTTTTTTCAAGTTACTACCTTGCCGCGGCAAGTTGTATGATCCTGCCGCGGCGTCAAATTGATATCCCACCGTAGCGAATTCATGTATTTCAATACATGTAGTTTCATAAGTCCCATTCAGCGCACCATCGTTTTCAGATGTACTTTAAAGGGTGAAATGCAGTGAGATTTGGGTTTAGATATCTAATTGGTACAAAGGGGGATGTTACATTTAAAAAAGCTTGTTTTCCAACACAACAGAAAACAAAAGAAATCTTATTTTGTGGTGTGAATTTCCACATTCAGATGACGGGTAGACTGTTTTTTAATTCCTTCCTACATTTCCCAAGTACCAAACAGAAGCAAACGGACTTCAAAGCAATACACTTGAACTCTCAACAGTCGAATTAATTAATTTGTCGTACTTACATGGAGAACAAAAACAGTTTTACAAATGCAACGCATGAAATACACGTACCTCACAGCTTTGGACGCTCAAAGCATGTCAGGTTATACCGAGTACCCTAATCCCGCATGTAAGTTCACTGCACACATGCGCAAGTGTCGACCATGTTCAAAATGTTAAAATGAACCTCTCCAAATAAGCATTCGACCAAAATGTTGTTTTTGCCCTTTTCGGCGCCCTGCTCTGTATGGGCGGTTTTTGTCAAGTTATTGCATGGATGTGAGATCAAAAAGGGACACTAACACTTTTTTCATCAACTGGATTGCCGTCCCCAGACTCGAGCCTGGGGACGGCAATCCAGTTGATGAATAAAATGTGTATTGGTGTCCCTTTTCACCTTTTTTTTCTGTTTGCGTGTTAAAATCTCCAAAATAACAGCAGATTTTAATGTTGCAATGATATCAACATTGAGGTTTGGTCTCAAATGGCACTGAGCACACATTGACTAAAAATATGCATGGCGTCACCATTTTTTTCGGCTGGGGTGGGGCAAACCGTCTAGTTAAACAATATTTAACTGCAAGAGGCGTCAATATTTTTTTTCTCGAGCTAATTGATAATTTTGATACTAATTCTTCTCTTCACTTCTTGTGCAGCTTTCCCTTTTATTAATTTGTTCAGGGTCCCCCTTCGCGGTGCTTACGTATTACTTGTATGAGTGTAAATGAAAATGCACGGGAATCCTTTCAACAGGCAGCCTACCAGGGAATTCTAACCCACTTGCAAAGATGGAAATTCACACCCCTAACGAGATTTCTTTTGTGTGTGTGTGTTGGAAATCAAACTTTGTTGAAATACAAAATCTCCTTTTGTTTGAAGCAATCTGAGACCCAATTTCACGGCATTCCACCCTGGTGATTCATGATAGGATTTATGAAACTACTGAAATATTCGCAGCGGCGAGATGTCCATTTGACGGCTGATATGGCTGACAGAATGAAATGGAGTCTTTTCTTCCTCGTCATGAAATCAATCACAATGAAAACTGATTGATTCACTCTTAATCAACGTTCATTTCAAGAAAGAAAATTCAATGCATGAATTGAACTTTACACTGTAGTATGAATCAAACCGATGCCTCCAAATTGTCCACTAGCCCCGTCATCCCTATCAATGTCTCTGATTTAATAACTGATCTACTTGTCACCTGCATCAACGCTGTTGACTGCACTACATAGGACTGAAATGGGGAGGTGCTTATGGAAAAGTTAGGAGGAAATGACGTCAATTTTTTTACTGAACACTTGCAAAAACAACAGCAACAAATGTATCAACAAAAAACTACAACCTGTCAAATGAATGACATTACATGTGAGACTATTGCACAGTGTAGAACCATGATTGTGGATCGCAGTGTTCATGTCCATCATTACTGCAACTATCTCCTGTATAGGAGATATTACACAAATATCAACCCTTACACAACTGTTTTAAGCAATACATTTCTGCAACATTACGTCAATAAAATGTACATACGGATGCATACATGTGCATCTATGTTTAAAATGAACATAGAACAAAACGAGAGTGTGTGCACCTTGACACAATAAATAATACTTTGCCAAAGCAGAATGCCTGACCATACTTAAAATATTAAAAGCAAAGGACCTCAGAATACACAGAATCTCCTGTCACAAAAATCTAAGCAAACCGAATGTGCAAGTTCATATTACTAAAGTTATGTTGCATGTTTGAAGTAAGATTTGTTGTACCTTAAAAATGAAAATAAAAGGCTTGAAATTTAAGTTTTAAGTTTGGAAAGTGAAAAAAGCTCAACATCTCCATACTCATACTTTGAACATACCTTGAACATAAAGGCCAGACCTCCATCTTCATGTCATCTAGACGAGATGATTGGCGGGGTGAAAGGGGTTTCATTTCCTCATTAAACCCCAAGTTACTTAAATTCTGCTTGAAGCAGAGAGTGTGGGTGCTTGCATGGCACTCCCCGGCTGTTTAGTCCAGCTATTAACTACACTTTGACTCTAGAAATGCTTCCTGACATTAAGTCTTAATCTGGATTTGGCTAGTTTCTGTGAATGACTTCTGGTTGCCTGATATAGTCAGCTTCCTGAAACATTGAGTCTGCATTATTCCTGTCTATTTGATGCACGATTACGCAGGTTTGAATAAACCCCCCTTTTCTTGCTTTCCAGTGTAGTGAGGTGCAATTTGTTTAAAAACCTTTCAACAGACATGTCTTGTAGACTTGGGATGAGCACTGTTTCTATGTGTATGTTGTTTGGATTCATTGGGGTACTTTTAATTTTTACCCAGGGTATCAGATAATTTCAATCCCATGGGGATGACAAGAAAATCTCTACTGTACATAATACAAATAAGTGTGTGGATGTTTAGGAATTAATAAATACATATCCATATTTATTACATAAAAACCCTTCTTACCCTGTTCAAATGTTAACACAGAATACATGTACAATAGTTCACTGTGATATGCCTTTGTGGACAATAGCCAATCTAGACAAAATATACTGTACAATTTACTCTCTGACATACTATTGCTTTTCAAGGAGACTCACAATAACCATGAAAAGAGGAATGCAAATGCAATTCTAACAGAGAGAATGCCAAGCACTGAATCAAGGTGGAAATATGGATGGAAGTAATAACTCTGCAGTTTACAGCCCATGAAGAACAAACCCTTTACACAACACATCAAATCACACTTCTCTACCGAACTGAGAATATGATCAGTCAGTGTAATTGTGTCTTATAACAAGGATAGAGTAGACCTAATAAGCAAGCTTTTTCAACGTATTAAGTTAACAAAAAACCTGACCGCCCTTCTGGGCACGACAAAAGACCCAAAAACTGTCTCAGTAATGAGGAAAACAATAAATAAATTTTCTGTTAAAAGAAGAAAAGCTTCATAATATCTGGCTCTTCAATAACAGCAATGTCTACAATCTTGGTTCATATAGTTTTTTTTTAATACTAGTAAACATACTGAACGTCAAAAACAATTTCAGAGATTTTAGATTGCATTTTGATCAATAAATATAAATTTTGCAAGTTGATATTACATGGGAAGTTTTTAAACACAATGCGGGGCTGTGTCTACAGGACCAATTGTGTGCCCTTGTACCAACTTGTCAACAGGTGCCTGCCTGTCTCTAGACAATAATGGCGAGACAGACCTGGGAGAAGAGGTACTAGACTCCTTGTGCAGTAGCACTTCTCGACTTTGACAGGACAGTTTGTCTGACACAGTCTCCAGTAAATCTCCCACCATGTCTAAGCTATCCTGCATCTCTGGGGGTACAGTTGGCAATATGTCTGATGAACAGCAAGATGGTGCATCAATTTCATCATTATTATGTCTTTCCTGACTCAAGTGCTCTAGGTCATCTACAGAGCCAGGTAGTCTAGCTGTGGCATTTTGCTCACCACTGCATGGACTGTCAGCTGATGGGTGTTGAGAGTTAAGATCCAGGGGAAAGTCTGTGTCAAATTCTGATGTGTTTGCCTTTGCTTGATGCAACAGTGAATGTGATTCCTTGGGTTTAACCATGTCTAGTTCTAGTCCATCTTGTTCAGGGTCAGCAGCTGTTTTCTCAGTGGTCTCTACATTGGACAATGACTCTGATGCAGCGCACCAGTTACTATCATCCTCGGTAGATGACGCTGACTGCAGACTGCGTGTATATCTATCTGTTGAAGCACGACTTGCTTGATGCATCAATTGACTAATATTGTCCAGCTGCAACAAATCACAATGAAACATTCTCATTTGTATCAAGAAAAGGACAGAGTATTGAAGTTTGACGTCATTTTGAAACAGGAAGTGCAGTGCAAACGAATGGAGTACGTGTGCATGTTGGTTCCTGCGTTGGTTCTCGTATTAGTGCACTTCACACACACAGCAGTGTGTGTAATATATTCACTTTGGTACTCTATCTGACTCGTAAGTGTGACATCACTTCAGTTAAAACCAAGCCCACTGAGCATAGAGTTACTTGAAACTGGAGAATAATGCGCAACGTCAGAGTTCATCCAATGGGAGCCTGCAATTAGTGGCATGAAAGGTCACTTATGAACCAGATAGGATACCTGTACACTAATCTTGTTTTAAAATGATTTCATAGAGAAAATTTCACGTTTTTACATGCGCACATCTCTCAGTGGTCACATCTGGTGGTCAGACCCATTTTGAATGAAACACAAAAGTCATGACATAAAAGAACATTTATAGTGATTGGAATCAGGTAAAAAGAAAAGATTAACAGAAATGATCCTTTAAGTGAAGATAATAAAGTACCCCTTATGGAATTATTTTTAAAGGCATGCCGAAATTTTCAAGAAAAAGTGTTCAGACTTTTCCCTGATTGACGAATTCTGCTTCTGCAATACCTAAACACACATTTTGGCGCAAAAAGAAATAATTTTACAGAGTAAAGCTCCTGGGATGTCACTGCTGACTTTGACTTGACAACTGTTCTTTCTGTGTTTTATGAGTACAGAGACCATGCAGCACTATGTTTGAATGAAGTGAATCTGACCTGATAATACATGTACATGCCCTCTTGTAGCTTTGCCTTAGATTAGAGTGGCTCCATTTCTTTTCTTAGCCCATTTGGACACTCACCTCAAGCATATCTTGGGCAGCATCTTCTTGATTCAGACTTATCATGGTGGTACCATTTTTGTCATCCCCACTAGCAAGATGTAAGCTGCTCAGACAGTGGCTAGGAGAACTGTGAGTGCTGGAATCTGATGATGCAGGCAAGCTGGTGCCACTCTCCAATCCTGCTAGATTTGAATCATCACTGGTACTAGATGCTTGGCGGGGAACCAGTGAGGACTGTCCAGCCATCATGTTCTTAACCTCACTGGCAACAAAGGCAGCATTTTTACCTACAAAGACAAGTACAAGAGAGTTTTTGACAGAGGCTTCAAATAATCACTTGGACTATCTTCAACAAACTGATGAAAATATCAACAGCAGCTGAGAGAAAAGATTTTTGGAGGGCATTTTTATATTTCGGGAAAGACCATCAACTGTTGTTGTGCGGAATTTATAATTCATCTACTCAGGTGGGTTACAGTCAAAAGCGGGTAAGTTTATGAATGTTTTCTCAAGATCTCACACAAACACTGAGTACCCAGTGTTATATAAACTTACAAGTCAGTATAACGGCAAAAGCTGTTATCAAAATGATTATCAATTGTAATTTCTAAGGTTTCTATTTTGGGGGGAGATATTTCAACATATTTGCCTTCTTGGTCCCCTCATAACTCTACCCTCCTCCCTTCTACTGGGACACAAATACTTTACACTCCTTAACGAGGAACTTTGGGTTTTAAGCATTTCCTGAGGATGACTGAAGGGTAACAGCTCACCAGGAGGCATATTCCAAAGTCCAGATATCTCAAGAGTCTTCAATTTCTTCTCCAACTCTGCCACACGATTACCAAGTATTCTGCCAACAAATAGCATGAATTAATGTTTAAGAGACAAATGAAATAAATCTTGAGCACCAGTGACACCTCTGACATCCACAGCTCAATTAGTCTCTCACAGTCCTCAGCTTACTCCATGCAATGTTTAAGTCCCCATGGATTTCATTCCAAAATACATATTTAACAATCTGAATATTTCAACAGTACTGTTCAACTGCTGAACCTCTGTCTTTAAGCATATTATTTTTGTCATCAAGCAATCAAGACTTTTGAGTTCAAAGAAATTCAGATTACATTTTTGGAAACTATTTGCAGCTTTTATTAAAGGAATTCAGAAATAAACATGACTCTCTTGCCTGTATTTGATGATTTCTAGTAATGCCAGGGAATGAGTTTGAATGGAGGTACACTTCTGGTGCCAGATATTTATAGAAGTATTTTCAGCTTTGGTCATATCCAAAACAGGCTTTCAGAGCTACGGCTATGTCTACTGTCAGTATGTGTACTTCCAATGTACAATGACGTATTTCCAGACAAAAGATTAGGAGGTATCCCGAGCTACTATAATTATAAAGGGGCTGGAAGGGGTTTTGCCAAATTGGATGTTGATCTTGAAAGAAAATATCTGCCGAGAAACACATGTAAGAATAACATTATGAAACAGTATTCATTTGACAAGTTGCTACTACATTATACCATTCATCCTGCAGGCAACAAGCATGCCACTTGGAGGTCAAGAAAGACACAGGGAAATGGTAAGCTGATCACAACAGAAATACTGAAGTGATATGCCTGAGGTAAGCAGTCTCCGTACAGTCAAGACTATCATTGTAATATCAGGCCAATCTATCAATGCCTGGTTTGGGCCTGAAGAATATTTTTCTAACAACCGACCTGTCTAATTTGCAGACACTCCATCTTGCAAATGATGCCCCAAGGTCTACAGTGTACCACACTGAATACAACACATGCACAATTATGTGTGAAAGGCATTAGCATGAGAAGCTGTAAGTGAATCAATGTGAGTGCACTCCATTCTATTGCACTGCACTTCCTGATTCAAAATGACATTACACTTCAGTACTCTATACCTCAACAGTGCATGTACATGTAGCTCTGGACGACCTCTTTAAGGCTTTCAGTCATAATGTACACTTTCCTGTGCAAACATTTAAATATGAGGAAAAACATTCTACAATGTGTTCTTGTACAATGCCTGGGAATACAACAGACATACAAGTATTCACAAAAGCCAAGTTTACCAAGCTATTTTGTATTTGATATTAAAGAATTGTCAGACTAAATAAAAATATGTCTGTCAGTCTTGGCTCCCCATCCTATGGTTGGCATTAGTTAATTAATGCTGCCTTTCCGTTATTTCCCAATACTTACTTGTTTGTATTTCTATGATGGTTGACTGCCATGTTCTTATCATGTATGGTTTCTAGGAGTGCTGTTGCCAAGGACTGCAGGTCAGCCACAGATGATGGTGTTGCAGCAATACCACCAGACTTACCCTCAGCAAGTAATTGCTCAACTAAACAGAGATGTAAATAGGTCTCTATTAATCTTACTCCTCATCTTATCTGTGATGCGATCTGCAAAAACCCTTCACATAGTAAGCTTTGTCATCTGGATACATATAAACTTTCAATTAACATGGAGACACTCTCATTGGATATGATTAGGAATGAGTTAATATGGTACAAGATGACCTAGGGATGAATAGGAATAGCATGGGGTCAGAAAGTCTAGTGTGACCATTTGAATGAACATTGTCCGGCAGAATCCAATGACATCCAATAGCTGTGAAAGTGTGAAGCCTGTTGAATCCAACATAATCCAACAGCTAGAAAAAAAGCCTTTTGTTAACTGCTCACATCCATACCCTCCTGTAGAAAGTGCTCACGGTTGGATATTGTTAAGTTAAGCATGGTTAAGGTTCAACACTAATCTTACATAACACACAAATGTTACTTTTTGAAGAGCAACTTTAAGGAAAACATGTTTTCTTAGATTTTATCTGTTCAAATAAATATGGAAGCATCCAAATCGAATGCAGTGTCACCCTGTGTTCGTAGTGGATAAACCCTTGTACATGCCAAACAGTGCATGTAGCCATTGTTTTGCATTCACACATGGCAAGGGTTCCCCCTGTTTTCTCTGAAAGATGCAATCTACATTCAGAACTTGCATCTTGGCATAAACAGAAAACAAGTCCTTTTAGCTTGTTATAGTGGAGCTCTGAAGACAAATGACACTGCGTTCGATTTGGATGCTTCCATATTTACTTCAAGATAAAATCAGAGAAGACATGTTTTCCTTAGAGGTGCTTTTTAAGATAATCAGGTTTCAAGGTCTTATGCTCTCATTTCTAATCACATAATTCTGAGCTTCAGACTTATGGAGTTTTGTTGTTAATGAAAATAAAATTCATTTGTATGTATAAAAAACTTATTTTAACAGTAATTTACAGTTGATGCTAACAGCCTTTTGCCTGGAATTCCTCCTGCCGTTATTGTCCATTGAAGTGGCATGTCCAATTCTAACAATCTTCTGCTGGGAATACACTTAGATAGACATCCACATTTCAGTGAGACACTTGCGCTGTTTTTGTTACATTCGTATCACATGGTAACGTCCTTATTCGGGTCAAAAATAATCTTCTGTCTTTTTCATTCTGTTTATAACATCAGAATGATGTAGCTCCTTGAGGCAACATGTATACCAAATGAAAGACTTTCAATACTCTATCAATTTCCTGATAAACCTGAATTTGACCTTTTGACCCATTTTTCACCCTTACGACCATCTTCCAGGCACCCAACGAAATGTAACCTGCAATGCAAATCTTGACATTTTGAGTAAGCAGTATGAGTGCAAAGGGCATAAAAATGAGCTCTTTTGATTTGATATTGATGCATTATTCCACATATTACAACACTGTAAAAAAAACAAGACACTGCATCAAAGCAAGAAATGCAATAAAAATTTCATTTTCTTTGTACTGAAGTTTAACTTTCTTTGTATATTCCCACATAAATACTGCCTACTTGTATGTATTAAACTCTCTTCCAGTTGCATTGCTCCCTAGTTTGCATTTGTCCTCCAATTTGAACCAAAACTACAGTGTCCCACTGCCCTTAAGAGAGGTGAAAATCACTGATACCTTGCTTAGGGGATACAAGAAGGCCTCCACTACTTGATGATCCTAACTTGATAGAACTTTTGCCTCTTCGTCTTTCAATAGCTGCCTATGAGGAAAAAAACACAAAGAACTGTCAATGATCCAACCCAGAAAAGAAAAGAACTCTAGTCGTACCAAGGAGACCATGGATAAAGTACAGCCCGACTGTTTCATGTATTTTAAGCCTTTCTTAGAACTATAGAGTCAAACTGGGTGAACCTAGCACCCTACACGTTTGTCGGATTCAGACCTATAAATCATGACTATTTCCTCATGTGGACACTTATGGCCTGGCTATTGTTCACTGATGTGGCAGTATTGTACTTGGTCTAGCCCAAGTCCCTGTAAAATCATAATAAACCCATCGCAAGTCATGTAGTATTAAGCCAAGTCACAAACTCAAATTAACTGTGACTGGTATCATTGTTCGCATTAATGACTAGTCATGTGAAATAATTTGTGACTATACTTGTGAAAAGACTTGCAATGGACTTGACTATACTGTATGTTGGTTAGAGAAGATGACGCCTAGTATCTGCTATTACTGAGGCTCCTGTGAGTGTTCTGTGATCATAGGCTCAGTAGGATGTATGGCCTAAATGCACAAGAACCATATCAGTAGTGACAGAGAGAGACTAAACCAACTCTAGAATGCCTTGTCATATACTCAGTGCTCCTAATGTCAAAAATGGGAAGCACTTTATTGACTAAATGGAAAAACATAACGATACAAGAACTTTCATAGCACAACAACTTTGATCAGATGCAACTACATGTGAAGTAGTTGTTGTTATGAAAGCTTTTGCAGTCTTTATGTTTTTCCAGTTACTCCCAACCCAAACACAGCTATTCGCATTTTTGCCATTCTTCCTACACAGAATGTCACATCCCTGAATTATTCCCAACCCAAACACAGCTATCCACATTTTTGCCATTGTTCCTACACAGACTGTCACATCCCCAGTTACTCCCAACCCAAACACAGCTATTCGCATTTTTGCCATTCTTCCTACACAGAATGTCACATCCCTGAATTATTCCCAACCCAAACACAGCTAT